GAATATGTAAAACCAAAATTTAAGTGGTTTGCTGAGTGATGTTTGACTTTGGAAAATTTCTTTACATACTCAAGGTTATTTAAAACTTGATACTCATTGGGCATGGTTGTGAACACCTTTAATTCCAGCACTTGGGAGGCAGAGGCAGGAGGATCTCCGTGAGTTTGAGGCCAGCCTGGTCTACATAGCAAGTTCCAGGCCAGCAGGGGCTGCAGGGAGACCCTGTCTCAAAAACAAAAAAGAACACTTGCCATTGGATTTAAGGACCAAGTAGCATAGGATAGTCTCACCTCTAGGTCTTTAACTTAGTTACATCCCCTAAAGACTCTTTTTCCAAGTAAATTCACATTCATAGACTCCAGAGATTTGAATAAAATGCCCTTCAGGGAACCACTCAATCCATGAAACTGTTCTTCAGGATCAAGTTATCCTGAGCTCTCCTTTCTCAACTGGGAACTCTAATAGACTTGCATTCCTTGTACATGAGCTGCTTTGGGAAGTGTTTGGAGCATAGTGTCAGATAAACATGGAAGTAGGAGCTCAATAGGTATTAAGTTGTCTTGCCATCTCACCACTGAGTTCCTTGCCTGTCAAGTTGAACTCATATTTTACTTTTATCTCTTGCTTTAAAACAGAAGTGCTGTTTACTTTGTTGGAATCTTTGTGACATCCTATGAACGTTTTGTGTAAGAGACAAAGCAAAGCCAGAAGAGTCCCAGGCGTGTGCACAATCTGCGCTCCACTCGGCAAATGAGAATGTCAAGCAGACGGGCTGTGAATTGCCTGTAGAAATAGAAGATGAAAGGGGATTAATGTACTACAGTCACATTTTAAACCCAATGTAAAACTTATATAACTGAAAAATAATGTCCAGTGTTATTCCATTTTTAGGTATTCTAAAATGCCTGAGACTGGATACTTTATAGGTTAAAAAATGTTTATTTGGCTCACGATTCTAGTCCCTGGAGGATTCAAACCTCTTAGAGACAACGGACCCCTGGCTGACTTGTCACATGGCAGAGAAACAGAAAGGCAGCCAGCTCTGTGCAGAAGGGGAAACCCGGATGGGGTGATCTTGCTTTATAACAACTTGCTGTCTTGAGAACTCATTCACTCCACCAGCACTCATCTCTTCTTAGGTGGCACTCTATTGCCCTTGCATTTCTCTCTCTCTCTCCCTCCCTCCCTCCCTCTCGTGTGTGTGTGTGTGTGTGTGTGTGTGTGTGTGTGTGTGTGTGTGTGTAATG